ATTGATAGCTGCACATTGGAATCTATGAAAGGAGCAGGTGGAAATAGTGGTGTAATGAATCGATTAATGGTGACCTATAACAACGGCTTAACTACTTCGTATGTTCTTAAAGTAAATTCCGAGCGTACAGAGCAAGCTGCTACAGTGGGGTTACCACGAGAAGCTTTATTTTATGAACAATTTGCCCCTAAGATCCAAAATATAGTTCCTCGTACTTTTTATTCGCAAGGAAATATGAAAGCAGGTACTAAAGCAATTGTTCTTGAAGACCTTTCTGTTTTGAATAAAGATGGTTATGATTATGTACAGTTGGGACTGTACTTTACAGCACACTCCCCTTTAAATTGGGAAAAGGCACAAAAAGGAGAAATGGATCCACTTATGCTTTCCGGAGATAAAATCGAAGAACTTATGTCGAAGGCTTTCGAATGTGGTGCTGATCTTCATGCTTTGTACTGGAACGATACAGCGATGGCTCAAGATAAGGATTTAGATTGGTTGCGTGGCCACGATTGGTATCGAGGAGAAGGCAAAGATACTTGGCAAGCCTCTCAATCTCTGGTTCACAATATATGGAAAAGTGGAACAATGAGTATCTCTGGGTGGGATCCGAAATTCGTAAGTTTGCTAGAAGCGTCATTGACTAAAGTCAATTGGGATGATTTTCAAAATCGTATTCATAATACAGCCTTTACACTCGTCCATGGGGACTTCCATCCAGGGAACTTTATGGTTGCAAGAAAGAAAGATAGTAATAATGTAATCTTTGGAGATGTTAAGCTCATGGATTGGGAAGTAGTAGGTATTGGCTGCGGTCCTCAAGATATGGGTCAATTCGTTATTTCACATGTACCACTTGAAACTCGACGTAAATTAGAAAAGCAAGTGTTCCGTGAAGCCTATTACGATAAACTTGTCGAAAAACTAAAAGCTAAAAATGTAGAAAAAATACCTACGTTTGAAGAGTGTTGGCATGAATATGTTTATGGAGGAGTCGAGCGTTGGGTTTGGTTATTAGTGATATGCAACAGTATTTTTCCAAAACCTGCTGGTGATTATTTTTATAATCAAGTAAAGGATTTTGCAAATGATCATGGAGTTAATATTGAAACGATCGGAATGCCACGGGCATGATCGACTGCGTAATTACTTCTAGAGTATTGGTCAAAAATATAAGGACAAGCGTTTTTTTTTTCATTTTTGATTTTTTTTCCACCTTTTGTTTTCCTTCTTGAATTTATATCTCTATCAACACATATATATTCAAACATGCTCTATCCAAATATCAATTTAGAATTTTTCTCGAGTTATTTATTTCCATAAAAAAATATGTATATTAAAAAAATGATTTTTTCAGCTTGTCAAAGTCATATGAACAGTTATATATTTACGTAGATTTTTTTGAAAGATAAAGTCAGTATTTGGAAGACGTGTGGGTGTGAGTATGGGTGTGGGTGTTGGTTTGGGATGTGGGTGCGGGTGTGGGTGTGGATGTGGATTTTGGGTGTGAGAATAATATATCAACTCCCACACCCACACCCACACTCACACCCACACACCCACACCCACACCCACACCCACACTCATGCCCTCAAGATGTCGAAATGTACAGTGTCGGAATTCGATTTTACCCATCACATCGATCATAAACAGCTTGTGCACGATAATTTTTCACCGACATTTGCCATGTTAAACATAATCCACCATGTTCTCGTGCGTATCGTGCACATTCACCAATCAGAAGATCAGCAATACCTTGACCTCGATATGATTGATCAACATAAAAATCTTTCATTATAGCTAGACGACCACTTTTTAATGTCGACCTAGACCATGAAAGTATACCAAAACCAACAGCTTTTTCATGGTGAACATGACGAAAAAGTAATTGTATTCCTTCTTGTTTTGGATTTGCAATTAATGCTCGAGATACGGACTAAAGTATCTCATCGCTCCTTCGAGAAATTTCTTCAGTTTGATCATAAAATTCACAATAACCTTGTAATAATGGTAATAAATTGACTGGACCATTTTTATTGACAATATTTAGCTTCGAAGGAGTATCTTTGATAAAGGTCGTCGCCATTTTTGATAAAAGATGCTGTTTGTTGTTTTTTTCTGTTCTTATCTAAATATGAATAATCGATAAGAGTCGTATGGCATTAGTTAACGAAAGATGTCGCCGATTACCATCCATGTACACTAAAAACAAAATCCGGAGAATAATCAAACCTTACCTTTAAAAGAATGTTTTATAAATCTTTGAAGGGTTTATAACGATGTGATATACCTTTTAACGGTTTATGAACTGAAGGATTTATGACAGTGAGAGTATATGAAAGTGAAAAGGGTAGATATCAAATATTTAAGGGTATCTTATTCGATATATCTGGCATGTTAACGGCAGTTTGCGAAAAAGGAGGAACAGGGAGGATTTATCGCGAAAGAAATTAGGAGGATGCATTAGTAAATAGGAGGACAAATGGAAGAGACACTTTTAATTGTAAAAATACCACTTGTATAAATTTTTTGGCGTACAAATTAGGAACTAGCATGAATTTCGCAATTCCATCTGACTAAAGGACTTTTTTAAAAATATTCCCTTGAATGCAATGAAATAAAGTTCTCCACTTATGAAGTTTTGCTTTTTCTTCATAAAAATATAAATTACTTTAGATTAAAATATTAGTTAAAGTTATGTGCAGAACCCACTGACAGTAAATTTTATCCTACTTTGGTCGTGAATATGTTTTTTAACACAAATAGATTTTGTTCTGATTTCCTTACTCTATATTTTATTAAGATATTCCTAACCTTTGTCTTACAGAACTTTGAATAATATGAACCAAAAATATTTGTGCGACCCTGTATATATTTTAAACAACTAGCAAATCATATATTCTACCCCCTATCATGATTATTGATTATATGGATTAAAATACATTCGGCTGTGAAGTCGCTCTTTTCAATCGCATCTCATCGAAATATTTTCTAAGACTGATTTATGGAAACTATATTAGCAGACACAAAACCATAATGGACCCTAATGAATCCAGAATATTATGCACTCTACTACAGTCTCAACAGACATCAAGAAATCAACCGTATCGTGTCAGACCATGAGGAGATTTCTGATAATTGTGAACAATTGAAAAAATATTAAAACTCATAGACTGTCGATAAATTACGCACATAAAATACACTAAAGAAAATGATTCAGTATTTTCAATAGCTTGGCAGAGAAAGCTCAGATCACTTAAGAATAATAATAGGCCTTACATTTTAATTGAATTCAATAGACTTAAGAATATTGTAATGGATTCCGATCTCTACTATTGTATTCGTTACTGTTTATCCAGCTTCTGATATTCTAGTATTTCTGAATTGTATTTTGAGCGAAAATGCAAAAATCTAATGTGATTCGTTTAAAAAACATGTCGAATAAACCAGTATAATGGAAGCTGATAGAAAAAAACTGAGAATGCTATATAAGTAAGTCATGGAAGTTAAAAAAAATTTAGAACCTAATTATTACACGACTTTTCTCATGAATGTTCTTGAATACAAAACTTTCACTATAATCTCATGGATTACGATGGAACAAACAAATTTCTCTGTTGCGACGTAGATGTTGCTCAGTTCTATTGCATATGAAGCCCTGATTTATGTCGCTTCAGGCATTATCTGAGAGAAGTACCATCCAAATACACTTTTTTCTAACTAAAAAATGCGTAATTTAGTTGACTGAAGAAGTATTTTTGTTAGAATATAATTACCCGCAAAAGTTTCTGGCAGTTAATATAAAAAATTTAGTGACTCTGGCACAAAAACAATGAAAAGGAGGAAAAGGAGGAGATTACTAAGAAAAAGAGAAGCAGGAGGATACATTTAGCGAAAAAGGAGGAGTATTAACCAGCCAGGATATATTCAACCCAAGGATTTATTTTTCTACCTATAAGAGTATATCAATGTACGTTTTTATCAAAATAGTATAATATCCTACGCTCGAGGGTATATTGCTCTATGTCATCAGCAAAAGAGTTTATTATTGTACGCATAAGGGTAGATCATTTCACCTTTTCATCAAAAGAGTTTAACTTTCGATTATTATCATTTGCTATATCAAACATTGACAATGATATAATCGAATATTTAAATAAAATAATTAAAGAAAATAAATTACTTTATGATTTTATTAATGAACAAATAAAAAATGATGCTTATATAAAATGGATATGATCCGATTTGTTTTATTAGGATTTTTTTATTATTGTTATTGAATAGATACGATATTTGTGACGATTTCCGAGTTCGTATAGAGTTGTACAAGAATATATGCTTGTATATGTATATTTATTCTTTATAAGAAATCGTGCCGTTACTGTATTTTCCTCGTCCTTTATATAGTACTCGGAAAAATACAGAGGCGTATTAATACAAAAATATCTAACTACCACACTAAAGATTAAATGTCACTTGGTGAGATAATGCATTAGATTCAAAATATAAGATAAGTTAAAATAAGCAGAAGAGAGTGAGATAATAAACTGTCATCTACCGTGTGTCCTAAAAGTCCCTTCCCAAAAGTTTTTGAGTAGATTTTCACTATTTTATGGAACTATACCAACTTTCTTTTTTTTAAACGATAGGAAAAAGCGCAAAGTTTTATTCTATGAAGACCTTTTTTTTATAGATACTGTTCGAAGGTGTTACCTTCCAAGGAAATATAAAAATTTAGTCTTTTTCTTATTTCAAGAAAAACGTTGTGTAGCCTGTTTCTTTCGAGTCGTTGAATTTCTTGAGTTATTCGAGTTTTTAAATCATCGAGATCTTTAATTCTCGTTTTGTAAATGTTTGTTTTGATGTGTCCCCACAAGAAGAAGTCCAACGGTGTTAAATCTGGTGAACGTGGAGCCCATGAAATAGGTCCACCTCTACCAATCCATCGATCGTTGAATTTGTTGTCCAATCGTGAGCGAACCGCCTTCGCGAAATGAATAGATGCTCCATCTTGTTGGAAAATGATTTTTCTATTAAGCCCTTTCTTCTGTAAAAATGGATAGAAGAAGTTTTGGAGCATGCCGAGATAGTTATGTTGATCAACTGTCGATTCATCGAAAAAATAAGGTCCAATGATCATCTTGCTTGACATCGCACACCATACAGTAACTTTTGGTGAGTTCATTGAAACTTCCATAGTAACATGAGGATTATCTCGAGCCCAAATTCGACAGTTATGCTTATGAACCATGCCTGAAATATGAAATGTTGCTTCATCTGAGAAAAAGATCAAGCCATCATTATTTTCATCATCAAGAATAGGTAAGAGAGCTTCGGCCATCACAACACGTACGTCCT